TGCAGGCACTGCTCAGGTGTGGCTTTGGCCCATTCTCCCACACATTCAAATCCTGAAGGTCCCGTGGGCCGTGCTATAACTCCCCATAGATTTGGATTCAGGGCAGCTGATTGGCTGGTACCAGTTTAGAGTTTCCTTGGCCGTGTGTTTGGCATCATTGTCTTGCTGAAACATGCACTCTTTGTTCATCCTCCTGGTAGATTTTTGTCAGGAATGTCTCAGTACATTATTCCATTCATGCAAATTCAGCTCCCAGAGTCCTCAGTGGAAGCTTCGGTAGTTTAGACATTCTTCTGTAACCAATGTCATCGTTATGTTTCGCAGCAATACGATTGCAACAGTCCTTAGACGCTCACTGGTTTTATATATCATGAAATGTCCATTGTGTGGCACATTGGTAATGACACAACTTTTTATTGGCCATCAATTAGGCCTGAACCAGCTGATAATAATCAGTACTAAGTGACAGGATTGCTTTCTAATTACTGACAGATTTCAGCTGATGTCATGACTTTCCATGTGATTTCCCTTTCTTCATGTGTTCGGTACTTTTTCCCCGCATCTTTTCTTATTGTTACACATCGATGGTTTGATTTCTTTAGATATATCGCATAACTGCTGCATCTATTTCATGCATCATGCATTCATACATTTAGTCCAAAATGTGTCTATAGAAAGATTATTTGACTTTAAATTCACTTTATCACAATTCCAAGGCTGCTCAGCACCTAAGAAGCCACTGCTTTACAATGAAAAGCCAGGATAAAGTTTCCAACTTCCCAACAATCTTACTTTAGTGAGAACTCCCCAGTAAACTGATGGAACAAAATGTTTGGCCATAAAGGCTGAAATAAGCAAACTTGAAGCCTAAGAGGTCCAATTTTGATATTGCTTTGAAACTCCCACGATGAGGAACCAATGAGGAGGTTCAAAGGAATTGAAGGTTGTTATCATCATGGCCTCATCCAATCAGAATGCAAAATAAAACAGCCACCAGGTTGTTGTTGTTTTTTTAGTTTTTTTAGTTTTGTGACCTTTTCAAAGTGGACAGACAACAATAAAGAGACAGGAGATAACAGCAGGGGACTTTTCATTTAGCGACTTGACACAGAGAATACAAGAA